CCTCTTGGGGGCCTCTTGGGGACCCTTTGGGGCCTTTTTGGGCCTATGGGCGCCTCTTGGAGCCTCCTGGGGGCCTCTTGGGGCGGGCAGCTCGGATTTTCGGTTCGTGCTCTCTCTCTTGGGCCCCTTTGGGGACCGTCTTGGGGCCCTCTTGAGCTGTCTTGGGCGCCTCTTGGGCCGTCTTGGGGCCCTCTTGGGCCGTCTTGGAGCCCTCTTGGGCTGTCTCGGGCACCTCTTGGGCCGTCTTGGGGCCCTCTTGGGCCGTCTTGGGGCCCTCTTTGAGACCTCTTGGGCCGTCTTGGGCCAGTCTTGGGGACCTCTAGGCCCGCCTGGGAGCGTCGGGAAGCCGAAAAGGCGAGAAAGCCAAAAACCTTCAAACACGTAAGGAAAATTACATACTTTGGCCTCTTGGGGCCCTCTTGGGAAGACTCTTGGAAGCCTCTTGGAGCGTCTTGGAAGCCTCTCGGGTCGTCTGGGACCATCTTGAGCGTCTTGGAGCGATGGTTCGGCGACTGGGGGCCCTCTTGGACCGTCTTGGGGGCCTCTTGGGGCCCTCTTGGCCCGTCTTGGGACCCTCCTGGGACCGAAAGAGTCAAGCGACAAGACGCGACAAGCCCCTGGAGATCTGAGAAATTGGGGTCCAGGCCCCTTGAAGACTCCTCATGACTGAGGACTGAGGCTCCAGGGATTAGGCGAGGGATCTGAGGACGCACCCACTCCGTGCCCAGAGGCATGGTGGCGGATAGGCTCACGCCACCCGCGGGTTCGCTTACCACAGCGTCCGCGTAAGCCGCGGTTGAACCAGGCCGCTCCGGTCTGGGCACAAGAAGGAGGAGGGCCGAAGTGAGCCGAGCGGGCCCCAAGACGGCCCAGGGAGGGCTCCACACCGCCCCAGGAGGCTCCCAGGAGAGCCCCAAGAGGGCCACAGGCCTCCAAGAGAGCTCCACGAGCGCCCCAGGCTGGCCCAAGGCCTCAAGACGGTCCAACAGAGTCGTGGTCCGAGGGGAGCAGGGAATTCGCGAGACAGCGGTCGGCAGGAAAGAGGAGCAGCGCAAAACAGGGCGTCGACCATGGCAATGATGGGAGCCAGTGCTGTCCATAGAAGTTCGCAATTATTCTTGTCGTCCCTCCTCTCTCGTCTCCCTCTCCCCCTCGGAGCTATAGGGAACTCGCTGTTCGTTGCGAGAGAGCTCTGCGGCCCAGGGGCCCAGCGCTTAACCGTGCCTGGGTTCTGGGGGAAGGGCCTCGGGGAGCTTCGTTGGGATGTCCTGGAAGGCCGCTCGGGGGTTTCCCGGAGGCAGTTGTGAAGCCTCTTGTGTTTGAGATTTTCAGGGAGCCTCTTGGAGGGGCCTTTGGAGATGTCAGGGGGCCTCCTGGCGGCATCTTGGGCCGATCCTGGGAGCGTCTTGGGCCGGTTTGGAGCATTGTGGGGCCGTCTGAGGTGGCTCTTGGACCGCCTTCAAGCCCTCTTGAGGCTGTGTTGGGGACCTCGTGGGGCCCTTTTGGGCACATCTTGGACCGTTTTGGGGCGATCTGGGAGGCCTCTGAGGGCGTCTGAGACGCTTTGAACATCAAAAAGCGCATCTGCTGAAAATGCCATTTTTCCAAGAAGGAAAGTGACGCTGTTTTGCGTTATTGGGTCTTCTTGGGGGTACTCTTGAAGCCCTTTGGAGGCTGCTTGGAGCGTCTTGCTGCCATTTTGGTGCCAGCTGAGGTTTCTGGAGGCCCTCTTAGAGCGTTCTTGGCCATCGTGGGGCCGTGAGCCGTCCTGGCGCCTCCCGGAGACGGCCGCACCCCCCTGGTGAGTTCACCTGGCGGTCGGCTGCGGCCATGGAGGCGGGGTCAAAGTTCCGGTCTGGGACCCTGTGGGGAAGGGGGGGGGGAATCTGGGGGGGAGAGAATCGCACACGCCTAGAGACCCACAAAGGGTCGGCGGAGTTAGTGCACTGCAGTTTTCCTTGAGGCGGGTGGTAGAGCTACTACGTAGGTCAATTGCGTTGCACATTGCTGGACTACACCAGTTATTTTGTCTTATAGTATTTGTGGTGCTGTCCATTCTGTCGACCCTGCAATGCACTGAGCAGCTGAGGCATCAGAGTCTCACTCCACTACCTGTCAACCCTGGTTACATGCTCGTGATGTGACAACACATCCGACGAATCCCACCTCAGCATCTTTGTCCGTCTATAATTTAAGCTCCAGGTTGCACTTGATGACCTACCGAACTCGGTTTGGTCGTCTTGTATTGCCCCGATGGTGCAGCAGATACTGAGCCCCCCACGCGTGGAATGACCCTAGGCAAAGATTCGTTGGTCTGATAATGCGAATGCCAATTCGAATAGGTTGTTTGCATGCCGCACCGAAGCAGCAGTGCGATGAAGGCAGTTGTGATGTTTTGCCGTACCTAGTGGGCGACTAAGAAATCTAGGGGTGGTGACGGCGAGGGGAGAACGACGACGAGGAAAGGAAGCAGGAGGAGGAGGAGAAGGAGGAGGAGGAGGAGCAGACAAAGCACTGGAGGCTGCTACATTCTTGTCCGCCTTTTCAATGTGTGCAGTAAAACACCGCACACCGTGCTTTCAGTTTCCCAGGCATCGAGAGCCCAGGCTTAGTGGTTGGTAGATCCCGGCTGAGGCTTCGCGGTACGAACACGGTGGGTGACCGCAGCGCGAAACATATATTTGGCACCAAAATACGTGCCCCAAGCTCCTTTAGCCTGCGCCGGTGTTGCTTTCATCGTTGCGGCGCTCATCGTCATCTTGATGCTAGGGTGGGGACATTTGGTTTTTTGCAATTAGCAGGTCGATCATGTTGATTGAGCCCACTGCGTATGTTGCCTTGCCTTCCAGTGCCCGCTCGCTGCGCACGTACCCTGTTCCTAAGAGCCGATTGCGTGTTTTGCTGGAAGCTCTTCGCGGAAGCCTTGCACCTTTGTCTTGCGTTTGTGGTGTTGCCAGTAAGGAATTGCGGGGGGTGGACTGCGTTGCCCGCATCTCACGGTGTCGCCTGCAGTCGTCGCGTATGCCAAGCTTCATTGGTGGCTCGAGGTCAGACTAGGACAGCGCATCGTTGTGAAGTGGTCGCGGCAGTGAAAGAGAGATACTGGCGAGGTGTGAGTTGGTCCTTCATATGCTTGTAGTTCTTTGTTGTTGCTATCCCCGTCATGTTGGTCGCAGACCCCGTCCACCGCGAGCTGCGTCTGCCGCCAAGCAGCTCCTCGGTTCCCTTTCACACAGGGAGTGGCCCGCAAGGTCTCCCACACCCCCTAGGTTTGCTCGACTATGCCATGATACATGCACAAAGTTCGCTTGACGCCGTCTTGGGCCGTCTTGGGAGGCGTCGTTGGGCCGTCATGAAGTTCTCTTCGTGCCACCTTGGGAATTGATCAGTTCCTTCTGCGGCCGTCTTGCGGCTGTCTGAAGCCATCCTGAGGCAATGTTCAGTCGAAAAGCATGTGAAGCTACACACCATTAGTCTGACTGTGTCTCCGGCTGGCCCACGTGACCTTGCTGGAGGCCGCTTGGGGCGTTTTTTACAAGCTTACTCGGGCATGTCAAAGCTTCACCTCTGGAGATATCGAAAGGCCTGTATGGGGCGTTTTGGCCTTCTGAGGCCGGTCCTGGGTTACCTTGCAGCCGTCTTTCGGTATTGGAGCCTTTTGGGGGCTGAGACGAGCGACTGAAATGAACATGCACGTCGAGGTAGGACCGCGGCAGGGTCTGAACATGCGGGAGCGTCGCCACTAGAACGCTAAAGGAACTTACCCAGACAGTCATCGACATATCTATCTCTCTCTCTCTCCTCCCTCCTTCCTCATCTCTCTCTCTCTCTCTCTCTGGCTCTCTCGCTATAGTTTTATCCTTCGATCCGTAGATATAAATATGTATACAGGTGTGTGCATATCTCTCTTTGTCTCTCGCTCGCTCTCTCGCGCTCTCTCTCTCCCTCTCGCTCATTATTGCAAGATGCACTCCGCTGATCGCGAAGACCTTGCGTCCAGACCGAGCATCCCCATGCTGAACTTGAAAGACAACACGTTCGAAGTGCATCCGCCGCAGCTCTTCGAAGTCCCCTCTGTCGTTGCCAGCCTCCCGGTCTCCCCTTCTGCCCCTCCCTGTGCTGCTCGTCTCCCCCTCACGGTGAGATGCCCGCCCATGCTCTCCGGAGCGTGCCTCTCCTCCTTCGGCGCCCCCCCCCTCTCTCTCTGCTTCTCCTCCCCTGCACCCCCCACACCCTTCGAGTCTGCTGCCTGAGGTCCTTCTCGCCCTCCTCCTCCTCCTCGCCCTCCTCCCTGAGGTCTGAACCCCGCGGATGCCAAGGAGCGCAAGCGCAAACGCATTGCGACTTGGCATTTCGATACCATTCTGTGGCCAGAGGCGGCAATTCGCTGCTCGGTTTACCCGTCCCGCGGGTGTTTGCGTGGCCCCACGGGGCCATCAGAAGGCATAAGCCCTCACCCAACCGAGCAGAGCACGACCCAGCGTCCCAGCGTCCGACCGACCTGCGCCTCCTGCACGCCACCCACCCCTTGGCATCGCTGGACGTGTGCATTGTTCCTTCGGCGAGGACCATCGTGGAGCATCCGTGATCATCTGGCGGAAGAACCACGCACGAAAGCGAACAAAGCACAGGAAATTGACGTCCGAGCGATGGCCAGCACCCACCCTCCCGCCCTCCCTCGAGCGTCGGCGAGACTCTCCCAGGGCGGCCCGGCGGTGCAGCCCGCCGGCGCCCCCCCCGCCGCCTCCTCCTCCTCCTCCTCCTCCTCCTCCTCCTCCTCCTCCTCCTCCTCCTCCTCTTCCACCTCCTCCTCCTCCTCCTCCTCCTCCTCCTCCTCCTCCTCCTCCTCCTCCTCCTCCTCCTCCTCCTCCTCCTCCTCCTCCTCCTCCTCCTCCCTCCTCCTCCTCCTCCTCCTCCTCCTCCTCCTCCTCCTCCTCCTCCTCCTCCTGCCCCTCCTCCTGCTCCGCGCCGGTGCAGCCGCCGCGGCGGCCCCGTGGCCGATGGGCCAGGCCGCGGGCCCATGCACGGTGCCCGGGCAGGCAGGGGGGGGCGGGGGGGTCGGTCAGAGCCGCCCCTCCCTCGTCATCGTCCGTGTCTTGCCCTCCGGGGCACATGTCGGCTCCGTTCCGACAGCGTGCGGCTTCGATGGCTTCCGATTCCGATTCGATTCTGCTTGGGCTTCCGATTCGGGTTCCGGTGTCTCGCTGAAAGCCTACTCGCCTGCCGATTTCCGCCGATTCGGCTTCTCCCGACTTGGCTGCCAATCTTCGCCGATGCGATGCATTCCGATTGCCGAGATGTCTTGTCGATTCGATTATGGGCTGAAGACTCGGATTGTCGGTTCGTGTTCCCCCTCTTGAGCCCTTCTCGGGCTGTCTTTGGACCGTCTTGGGAGCCTGTGGGGCCATGTTAAAGTCTTCTTGGGCCGTGTTGGGGTTTTCTGTGGGCCTCTTGGGCCGTCTTGCGGCGGTCCTGGGCACCTCTTGGGTAGTCTTGGAGCGTCGGGAGCTCAAAAAGTCGAGGACCCCGAAATCATTAAAAAGCCTACGGAAAATCAATGATTTAGGCCTCTCGGGGCCCTCTTAGGAAGGCACTTGGGGCTTTCTTGTGGCGCCTTGGAGGCCTCTTGGGCCGCCTTGGGGCCATCTTGGGCGTCCTGTTGCAATCCTTCGGCGACTCGGAGCCCTCTTGGACCGTCTTGGGGCTTCTTGGGGCCCTCTTGGCCCGTCTTGGTCCCGAAAAAATCACGCGACACGATGCGCTGGAGCCCACGGGTCAGGAGAGAAGCCCGAGAGGATTTGAGAATTTGGGCTCCGTGCCCTGTACAGACTCCTCAGAAGGAATTACGCAGAGGGCCTGCAGACACGCCCACTCCGTGCCCAGCGGCACGGTGGCGGATGACGGGAAGCGCCTCCGGCGTGCAACGTTGGCTCTGTGGCTCAATTTTCTCTCACTAAGGGGTACGGATTACATTTGGAAGGTCGCTGGCGGATGACGGGAAGCGCCTTCTCGGAACGAGAAGGAGGTGGGAGTTTCTTAGGCCATGCTTCCTGCGAGTTAATAAAGAACAGAGACGCGAGGGACCACGGGCTCGGGGTTGGGCGGGATGCATCGATTGGCGGATTCCCCCCAAAACGGCCGTTTCGCTCGAGACATCCTCGAACATGTAGGATCTTGAAGGACTTGTTTTAAGACGTTGTATGTAAAATGTGAAGTTCCTGCTCGAGACATCCTCGAACAAGTGAGATCTCCAGGGATCTCGCGAATCCGTCGAAATCTTAAAAAATGAGGCTCTCGCTTGAGACATCCTCGAAAAATGGGATAGTGGACGAGCTGCTTCGAGACGTCTTCAGTTCAAAATGGGGCTCTCGCTCGAGAAATCAGGGAGCTTGCGAATCGAGTCGGTCCGAGAAGGGCTCAAGAGGTCTCCAAGACTGTCCAAGAATGCTCCAAGACGGTCCAAGATACCCTTTATCGTATTCATCATCATCCTCGCCATCACTACTATCATCATTTTCGTCGTCGTCGTCATCATCATCATCATCATCATCATCATCATCATCATCATCATCATCATCATCATCATCATCTCCATTGTCATCGTCCTCGTCGACGTCATCACGGTGTTGGAATGTACAGAACGCCAGTAGATAATCTGATGCATCATGACACTGCATCCTCCTCCTGTCCTGGGCCACGGAATCGCCATATAAATTTGTCCTGGGCCACAGAGTCGCCATATAATTTTGGCCTGGGCCACTACTATCACCATTTTCGTCGCTTGTGTCCACCAAGCATGTGAAGTATGCTAATTTGTTGGTCTGCCGCGCAGGTATGTCGTGGCGCGCGTGTCGGCGTGCGTGCGGGTTGTGTTTTGCCGTGCTCCTGTGTGTTCTTCCCTACTCCTGTTCTGCCGTGCTCCTGTGTTCTGCCGTGCTCCTGTATTCTGCCGTGCGGATCGTCGCTATGGTCGCTGTGGCGGATCTTACGGGCGCGCTCGGTTTGACGGATGGATCCTTGGGGGTGCTAGTTTTGGCGGATCCTTGGGGGTGCTCGCTAGCGGATTTTTGGGGGTTGTTCGCTTGTGGCGTATCTTAGGGACGCGCTGCCAGATGACGGCAGAATAGGCCCCAAGAGCGACGGAGCGCTGCAGAAAAAGACCAGGAGCACAGCAGAGCACGGCAGAATAGGCCTTAAGAGCGACGGAGCACGGCAGAAACAGACCAGCGCACGGCAGAGTAGACCCCAAGAGCTAAGGAGCACGGCAGAAAAAGACCAGGCGTTGGCAGAATAGGCCCCAAGAGCAAAGGAGCACGGCAGAAGCAGACCAGGAGCACGGCAAAATAGACCCCAAGAGCGAAGGAGAACGGCAGAAGAGGGCCCAAGAGTGAAGAAGCACGGCAGAAAAAGACCCGGAACGCGGCAGAATAGACCGCAAGAGCTAAGGAGTACGGCAGAACAGGCCCCAAGTGCAAAGGAGCACGGCAGAAAAAGACCAAGAGCACGGCAAAATAGACCCCAAGAGCTAAGGAGTACGGCAGAAAAATACCAGGAACAACGGCAGAATAGGCTCCCAAAGCGAAGGAGCACGGCAGAAAAAACCAGGAACACGGCAGAGTAAACCCCAAGAGCTAAGGAGCACGGCAGAATAGGCCCTGCCGTGCGGATCGTCGCTATGGTCGCTGTGGCGGATCTTACGGGCGCGCTCGGTCTGACGGATGGATCCTTGGGGTTGCTAGTTTTGGCGGATCTTTGCGGGTGCTCGCTCTTTAGCGGATCTTTGGGGGTCGTTCGCTTGTGGCGTATCTTATGGACGCGCTGCCAGATGACGGCAGAATAGGCCCCAAGAGCGACGGAGCGCTGCAGAAAAAAACCAGGAGCACGGCAGAATCGACCCCAAGAGTTAAGGAGCACGGCAGGATAGGACCTAAGAGCGACGGAGCACGGCAGAAACAGACCAGAGCACGGCAGAGTAGACCCCAAGAGCTAAGGAGCACAGCAGAAAAAAGCCAGGCGTTGGCAGAATAGGCCCCAAGAGCAAAGGAGCACGGCAGAAGCAGACCAGGAGCACGGCAAAATAGACCCCAAGAGCGAAGGAGAACGGCAGAAGAGGGCCCAAGAGTGAAGAAACACGGCAGAAAAAGACCCGGAACGCGGCAGAATAGACCGCAAGAGCTAAGGAGTACGGCAGAACAGGCCCCAAGTGCAAAGGAGCACGGCAGAAAAAGACCAAAAGCACGGCAAAATAGACCCCAAGAGCTAAGGAGTACGGCAGACAAATACCAGGAACAACGGCAAAATAGGCTCCCAAAGCGAAGGAGCACGGCAGAAAATTATCCTGGCGAAAGACCCAACCATAAACAATTGTTGGTAACGCGTTGTGGGTGCCGCTTTCGGTGGGGCTCCATATGGGGCCACGAAGCGCTGCCTTGGATGGGGGAACCGCATGCGGACTGCGCCACCGGGGCGGGCCTTCGGTGGAGCTCCCTATGGGGCTACGAAACGCTGCCCTGGGTGGGGGAACCGCATGCGAACTGCGCCACTGGGGCCTTCGGTGGAGCTCCCTATGGTGCCACGAAACGCTGCCCTGGGTGGGGGAAGCGCATGCGAACTGCGCCACGGGGGCTTTCGGTGGAGCTCCCCATGGGGCCACGAAGCGCTGCCCTGGGTGGGGGAACCGCATGCGAACAGCCACTGGGGCCTGGTGGAGCTCCCTATGGGGCCACGAAACGCTGCCCTGGGTGGGGGAACCGCATGCGAACACCCCCACTGGGGCCTTCGGTGGAGCTCCCTATGGGGCCACGAAACGCTGCCCTGGGTGGGGGAACCGCATGCGAACACCCCCACTGGGGCCTTCGGTGGAGCTCCCTATGGGGCCACGAAACGCTGCCCTGGGTGGGGGAACCGCATGCGAACACCCCCACTGGGGCCTTCGGTGGAGCTCCCTATGGGGCTACGAAACGCTGCCCTGGGTGGGGGAACCGCATGCGAACACCCCCACTGGGGCCTTCGGTGGAGCTCCCTATGGGGCCACGAAACGCTGCCCTGGGTGGGGGAACCGCATGCGAACACCCCCACTGGGGCCTTCGGTGGAGCTCCCTATGGGGCTACGAAACGCTGCCCTGGGTGGGGGAACCGCATGCGAACACCCCCACTGGGGCCTTCGGTGGAGCTCCCTATGGGGCCACGAAACGCTGCCCTGGGTGGGGGAACCGCATGCGAACACCCCCACTGGGGCCTTCGGTGGAGCTCCCTATGGGGCCACGAAACGCTGCCCTGGGTGGGGGAACCGCATGCGAACACCCCCACTGGGGCCTTCGGTGGAGCTCCCTATGGGGCTACGAAACGCTGCCCTGGGTGGGGGAACCGCATGCGAACACCCCCACTGGGGCCTTCGGTGGAGCAACCGCATGCGAACACCCCCACTGGGGCCTTCGGTGGAGCTCCCTATGGGGCCACGAAACGCTGCCCTGGGTGGGGGAACCGCATGCGAACACCCCCACTGGGGCCTTCGGTGGAGCTCCCTATGGGGCTACGAAACGCTGCCCTGGGTGGGGGAACCGCATGCGAACACCCCCACTGGGGCCTTCGGTGGAGCTCCCTATGGGGCCACGAAACGCTGCCCTGGGTGGGGGAACCGCATGCGAACACCCCCACTGGGGCCTTCGGTGGAGCTCCCTATGGGGCTACGAAACGCTGCCCTGGGTGGGGGAACCGCATGCGAACACCCCCACTGGGGCCTTCGGTGGAGCTCCCTATGGGGCTACGAAACGCTGCCCTGGGTGGGGGAACCGCATGCGAACACCCCCACTGGGGCCTTCGGTGGAGCTCCCTATGGGGCCACGAAACGCTGCCCTGGGTGGGGGAACCGCATGCGAACACCCCCACTGGGGCCTTCGGTGGAGCTCCCTATGGGGCTACGAAACGCTGCCCTGGGTGGGGGAACCGCATGCGAACACCCCCACTGGGGCCTTCGGTGGAGCTCCCTATGGGGCCACGAAACGCTGCCCTGGGTGGGGGAACCGCATGCGAACACCCC